CGTAAAAAAAAAATCTCTGTAAGTAGCTAGCTCTTTTCCTTCACAGAGATGGGCTACCGCAGCTTCGAGAGCCCTTTCCGCCAGCCTGGAAAGCCCCGTTTAAATATTCTTTCTTAAGTACCACATTAATTTTGCTCTCTGATTAGCTCACGAGTTAAGCATCCTCCACAGGTCCAGGAGCAGTGCAGTAGTGAAAAGGACACTAGGCTCCTCGGAGCTCCGGCCAGGCCACTTGACTTTTGTGAGGCTGGGTTTTGTTAACTGGAAAACGAGGGGCTTGGCCTTACATGATTGCTAGGGTTTCTGGCTCTAAATTCTACGATGTGCATGACACAACTTTAAAAGTAAAAGAGACAAAATTCACCATGCATCTGTGGGCTTTCGAGGGACTGAGGGAGAAGGGGGTACTCTTTAGATCCAGCGTGCCCAGCTGCCTGGTGGGAAGGATGCTCCCCTCCATGTTTTCTTTGCTGGCTACCGCCCAGCCACTCTCCCCATCTTTATTACTCTCCACTGTTTCTTCACTCACTGTATTTCAGAATTGGAATTCAGTTTTGTTCTAAAAACCATAATTATTCTTAATATGGAAAGATGATTTTAAAATGGTTTCTAGAACATTCTACACTTACTTGGGGAAAAGAATTAATTTTTAAAAATATCTCTGATTTGCTAGATATCACACAGCAAGGGTATGATACTGAACAGAAATTCTCTGCATTGCAAATGCCATTTCTACTTAACTAACAGAAAACAAAATAAAACAAAAAACCCAAACCCGTTGCCATCGAGTTGATTCCAACTCACAGCGACCCTACAGGACAGAGTAGAACTGCCCCATATCGTTTCTAAGGAGCAGCTGGTGGATTCAAACTGCTGACCTTTTGGTTAGCAGCCTGAGCTCTTAACCACCATGCCACCAGGGCTCCAGAATGCTCATTAGAAGCAAGGATAGCAAGACTTCATCTCACATACTTTGGACATGTTGTCACGAGGAACCAGTGCCTGGAGAAGGACATCATGCTTGGTAAAGTAGAGGGTCAGCGAAAAAGAGGAAGACCCTCAACGAGATGGACTGACACAGTGGTTGCACCATTGGGTTCAGGCTTACCACCGTTTTTGGGGTTGTTGCGGACCCGGGCGTTTTTTCTTTTTTTTTTCCTTGGGTTGGTTTTGGTTGGAACCCACTTCCCTGGCTTTTACCACCACCGGTTGCCCCTTTGGCCCTTTCCCTTTGGGGGCCCTTCTTCTTTTGGTTGGCCTTTATTGAAGGTGATTCCCGGTTCCTTGGGTTGTCTGTGGCTCGGCCCACCTCCTACTCTGTGGTTAGCTCACCACGAACATCCTGGCTCAGGACCCCAGGCATCCTCACAAGCAGCCGTGGAGAGAGGAGGCTT